TCTGAAACGAGCAACATTCCCTTTCAGCTAACTTTCCTCTCACTGGCTCTTTCATACAAAGAACATAATTTATTCCAGGTGGGCGGAGCTTTTATGCCCACAATCAGAGCTGGGTTTGAAATGACCATACAAGGAGTCTCAGTGAGACTGTAAAGTAGAAAAAAGCGGACTGCTTTCGTGGATTACATCACTATTGAAACATAAAAAATACTGCTTCACGAGTAAAGTATTTGTTTACATAATACCTGATAAATGATATAATAATAATAATTAGCATTGACAGCACACTACACTTGGGATGCAAGTGTTATGCAGTGTTGTGCATAATGTACATATGTTGTGTACATTTCCAAATAGTTATGGGTCTAACTGCATGTACAATGTAATCAGATGACAGTTATTATGTTGCCAACAAATCACACAAAGAAGTCTGTAGACCAGTAACTAGATGGACACTTGGAGTGCCTGCATCACGATTTTAAAGAAAGTGATCCAGTTCACACCAAAATGTGACGTGTTATCTCTTTGCCCTCATCTCAACTAAGATTCATCAATCTTAAGGCAGTGATTCCATGACCCATTTTAATTAGATTGTTAGTCTTTCTCTTAAACGTAGCTCGAGTTACTACCTATGATGAATTATGAGAACACAGAGAAATGAGACTGAAAACATATCTAATGTTTGGTGGAGGAACTCTAATATGACACCTCCACAAAGGCAGCATCACTGCTTTGTTGTTTCATTTGTGTTATTATTTGGTCTTACCAGACTGATGCTGACGACACAACGGAAGAACTAATTCTAGCACTGCTCAGACAGACAGAAGCCCAACGGTCACAGCAGTCACTGAACTCCCGTCAGTCCCTACAGCCAGCACAAGCCTTCCTCTCCATGCAGTGACATGTTTCACATTTCCTTTGTTTTTTCCTCTGCAGGGTTCGATTCAGCAGCTGGTCATAAAAGACGATCCAAGAGTGGCTGAGGAGCAGTGTGAAGACGATGATCCTTATGTGAGACACTCCGTAACTTGTTGCTGAAATGCAAACCTTTCTAACACAAAGCCACAGTCTGCCTAGCGATATTTTAAAATGCTGTAAAAACTTACATGTCAATCCACAGCTCCCCCTTGTGGTTAAAATTACTGGTTGTAAGGATTTGTGCTAAAAGGGTTTTTTTTTTCACCAATGAATGTATAATATGACGTTTGATAAAGGCCTCGGGGTACGCCAGTGGAGACGAGGCTTTGGATGACAGAGAGACAGAGAAAGACCCGAGGAAGACCGCAGAGGTGAGAACGCCTGGCTCGGCACGGGTTGGCTGGTGATGGCTGGATGGATTACTTTAGTCCTCTCTGTCCATCAGTGTGTGTGTGTGTGTGTGTGTGTGTGTGTGTGTGTGTGTGTGTGTGTGTG